ACAGACACCTCGACTTAAATTTCAATTGATTTTGAATGCATCAAAAGAATTCGAGTTACGTTGAGAGAAGGTCGGTCGTTCATTGCAAATATTGCCGATTGTTGTCGTCGTCGTCGCTGTATGCCAAGTGCAATTAGCCATGGAGAATCTTGGTTACAAAGAGGGTTCAGCCAAACCGAGACGTATGACACGCTCCATTAGTGTGGTGACCAAAAGTGATGCTGAACAGCCATTGGCCGGGAATAATACAAATCGGTAAGTATGTATGTACGACAAAGCAAAACAAAACAAAAATCAATAATTTTGAATTTAAAGGAAAATTTCTATAATGAAATATTTTTAAAATTAATATACACAAAAATTGTATTTCATGTTTCAATATTCCAATATATAAAGCATACTTTTAGGATGCATTTGTTAGAATGTCGAATTATGATCAGCTGTTTGTATTTTAATTAATTTTAAACAGTATTTTCTATCTATTCCGTAATTACGAAATTGTTTCCTAAAAGGAATATATATTAGGAAAAACTAAATATATTAGGAAAATCTAAATTCTAGAATTTGTTTTATTAAATAAGGAATAAGTTTAACTTTTAGGAAATAATTTCTTAATTTCTGAGAAGACAGAAAATACTATTTAGAATTACTTAAAAAAAACCTTTAGGATGCATTTGTACGAATATCGATTTATGTTCAGCTGTTTGTATTTTAATTCGTTCTAAATAGTATTTTCTGTCTATTTAGTAATTAAGAAATTATTTCCTAAAAGACAAAAAAATATTAGGAAACAAGTCAAAACCCAGGTTCTAAAATTTGTTTTATTAAATAAGGAATAAGTGCAAGTGCATAAGGAAGGATGCATTTGTACTAATATCGATTTATGAGCAGCTGTTTATATTTTAATTAATTGTAAAATTCTGTCTATTCAGTAATTACGAAATTTGTTCCTAAAAGAAAAATATATTAGGCAAAAAATAATTTTAGAAGTTTAGAATTTTTTTTATTAAATAAAGAATCAGTTCAATAACTTAGAAATATTTTTCTTTGAGAAAAGTCTGTATAAGGCTTTTTTGTCCAATCCTTCATAATTTAGGAATTGTTTTCCTAAAGTGAATATCAGTTTCCAGTAGTTTAGGAATGTTTTAAGTAAGGATCAGTTTTTTTCTAAATGGAAAAATAAGTCTATAGTAGATTATCAATTGTGTTCTTTAATTGAAATTATACTTTTCTTTACAGAAAAATCTGTTCCAAGTATTTTAAGAATTTTGTTCCTAAAAATTTTATGATTTTTTTTTCCTATAATATATATCATTACTTAATAATTTCCGATTTGTTTTCTATTAAAATGAGTCTAGAATGGTATGTGTTAAGTTTCGTGGAAATCGGTTGAAATTTACGTATAGCTCCCATATATATATTTTCATCCGATTTTATGTAAATGGTGCACCAAACTTTAAGTGGCACAAGGTCAGCAGTTAAAGTAGGAAAGGACCTATCGGAGCCCTTCAATACCGAACGAGGATTCAGACAAGGTGACAGTTTGTCGTGTGATCTTTTTAACATCCTACTGGAAAAGGTCATACGAGACGCAAAGGTGAACAGAAATAGCACTCTGTACACGAAACAACACATGTTACTCGCCTACGCCGATAACATTGATATAATGGGTCGAACATTGCGAGCGGTAACAGCCACCTTTGAACAAATTCAAAAGGAGTCTGCCAAAGTGGGTCAGGCAGTAAAAGGCGAGAAGACCAAGCTGATGGTATCAACGCGAAAGACGTCCAGTAGACTCGGACCAACTGTGGAACTTGAGAACTACAGCTTCGAGCTAGTTAAAGACTTTATATACCTTGGTACCGCCATAAAGAAAACAAATGACATCAGTTTTGAAATTCGGAGAAGGATTGTGATGGCCAACAGATGCTACTATGGTCTAAGTAAGCAGTTTAGAAACAAGGCCACCTCCCGCCAGACCAAACTAACACTTTACAAGACGCTGATACTACCCGTGCTATTATATGGATCAGAAGCATGGGTACTTGCGCAAGCAGATGAGGCCGATCTTGGGGTGTTTGAGAGAAAAATTCTCCTGATTTAGATTTAGATAGAGCTCCCATAGATATGTTTATCCGATTTTATGTAAATGGTGCATCAAAGCCTCTAACATTTCTCTCGATTTACACGAAATTTTGCATAGCGTACTAAATTAAGTCCCGAATGGCATGTATTAAGTTTCGTGGAAATCGGTTCAAATTTACATATAGCTCCCATATATATTTTCATCCGATTTTCTGTAAATGGTGCACCAAATCCCCGACATTTCTGCCGATTTACACAAAATTTGGCATAGGATTTTAAATTCAGTCTAGAATGATGTGTGCCAAGTTTCGTTAAAAGCCCCGACATTTCTCTCGATTTACACGAAATTTTGCATAGGATATTAAATTCAGTCTAGAATGATGTGTGCTAAGTTTTGTTGAAATCGAATCAGATTTAGATATAGCTCCCATAGATATTTTCATCCGATTTTATGTAAATGGTGCACCAAACTCCCAATATATATTCGATTGAGACGAAATTTTGCATAGCGTACTAAATTAAGTCCAGAATGGCATGTATTAAGTTTCGCTGAAATCGATTCAGATTTAGATAAAGTTCTCATAGATATTTTTATCCGATTTTATGTAAATGGTGGATAAAAGCCCCTAAATTTCTTTCGATTTACACGAAATTGTACATTGGGTATTATTTTGAGTCTAGAATGATGTGTGCTAAGTTATGTTGAAATCGGTTCAGATTTAGATATAGCTCCCATAGATATTTTCATCCGATTTTCTGTAAATGGTGCACCAAAGCCTCGACATTTCACTCGATTTCCACGAAATTTTGTATAGGGTCTTAAATTCAGTGTAGAATGATGTGTGCCAAGTTTCGTTAAAATCGATTCATATTTTTATATAGCTCCCATAGATATTTTTTACACGAAATTGTACATAGGGTATTATATTGAGTCTAGAATGATGTGTGCTATGTTTTGTTGAAATCGATTCAGATTTAGATATAGCTCCCATATGTATGTTTCAGGACCAACTGAAGGCGTGGATTTATTAAAGAATATTTTAAAGGACCAACCGAAGGCGTGGATTTATTAAAGAATATTTTAAGCCTCTAAATTTCTTTCAATTTACACGAAATTGAACATAGCGTACTAATTTGAGACAAGAATGAAGTGTGCTAAGTTTCGTTGAAATCGATTCAGATCTACCCATATATATTTTTGTCCGATTTGATCCTTCTTTCAAATTTCCTTCTTTCCGTTCATTTTTTACTACGCAAAAAAACTCAGAAATCCCTCTCTCCCTCTCTCTCTTTAGATATATTTTCAAATTGTTATAACAAATAATTAATTATTCCCTTCCCCATATTATTTTTATTTAATTTACACATTTGTCACTGTGAAGAAGATTCCAAAAATCTAAAAAAAAAAACAACAACAACAAATAAAAAATTATATATTTACAATATTATCATTTGTTAAATCATATGATTAGAGTCTGATCAGAAAATTAAGTTACCTGTCAATGGGGGAGTATAGAGGGAGAGAGAGAGAGAGAGAATGAGAGAAAGGGAGATATAAAGAAGCGACCCCATGAATCATTTGTTTTTTTTTTTGGGAATTTGTCAATAAATCAGAAAAAAACAAAGTCCACACAGACTTGTCATTCAAAATAATCCAAGCATTCATAATTGGATGTATATCTACGTTAATAATAAATTTAAACAAACTGATATTTAATAAAAAAAAAATATTAATAAAAAAACAACTCTCTCCGAAATTAAACAAACTGGCTACATCCCAGACGGATATACACAATAACAATATCAAATAATATAGCAATTTATCTATTTTGGATATTTTTGTTTTCAATATTTTTCGTGGAATTAAACCACAAATTAATATATAATAAAACAAATCCAAACCATTTATTATTATAATGAATGAGATAAATGAAGAGTTCTTAGAAATTATCCAGTCCCGAAAAATATTCCAAATCTAATATTTCACATAAACAATATGTGAAATGAAAAAAAATATATAATATTTATATAATTTCTAGAAAATCCACTTAATTTGAATTTATTGTACGGTATTTCAAATTTCGTCTGAATCGGACAAACCTTTATATAGAATCGGACAAAAATATATATGGGAGCTATATCTAAATCTGTACCGGTTTTCACGAAACTAGGTACACATAATTTTATAATCTATTCAGTACGATATGCTCAATTTCGTCTCAATCGTATAAAAAATTAGGAGTTTGGAGGAGTATATTTACATCGAATCGGACAAAAATATATATGGGAGCTATATCTAAATCTAAACCGATTTCAACGAAACTTTGCACACATCATTATAAACACTATTTGATGCGGTATTCCAAATTTCGTCGGAATCGGACAAATCTTGGGAGTTTTGTGGCCATTTTTTTTTCATAAAATCTGATGAAATTATATATGGCAGCTATATTAAAATCTGAACCGATTACAACGAAACTAAGTAATCATCATTCTAGTCTCAATTTTCGTCTCAATCGGCTAAAAATTGGAAGTTTGTTGGACTATTTACATCGAATCGTACGAAATTATATATGGGAGCTATATCTTAATCTGAACCGATTTCAACGAAACTTAACACACATCATTATATACTCAATATGAAACGGCATTCCAAATTTCGTCTTAATCGAAAAACTCTTAGGAAACTCTGACGAAATTATATATGGCAGCTATATCTAAATCTGAACCGATTTCAACGAAACTTAACACATGCCATTCTATACTCAATTCAGTACGCTACGCCAAATTTGATCTCAATCGGTTAAAAATTTGGGAGTTTGGTGCATTATTTACATCAAATCGGCCGAAATTATATATGCGAGCTATATCTAAATCTGAATCGATTTCAACGAAACTTAACACACATCATTATAAACTCAATATGATCCGATATTCCAAATTTCGTCTGAATCGGACAATTCTTGGGAGTTTAGTATTTCTTTTACGTAAAATCGGAAGAAACTATGTATGAAAGCTATATCTAAATCTGAACCGATTTTCACAAAACTTAAGACATGACATTCTATACTCAATTCAGTACGCTATGCAAAATTTCGTACAAATCGAAGGGAATATAGGGGATTTAGTGCACCATTTACCTAAAATCGGACGAAAATATATTGGGGAGT